AGCCCAGACCCCAAAACCTATCTGGATGGGTCAGTATTAGGAGGAAGGGGAGGGGGGGAAAAGAGGGGGAGGAAAAAGAAGAGGAGAGGGAGGAGGAAGAAGAGGAGGAGGAAGAAGAGGAGGAGGAAGTAGAGGAAGAGGAAGAAGATGAGGAAAAGAAGGAGGAAGATGTGGAAGAGGAGGAGGAAGAAGAGAAAGAGCAAGTGGAGAAGGAGGAGGAAGTGGAAGATGAAGTGGAGGAGGAGGAAGAGGAGGAGGAAGATGTGCAGGAGGAAGAAGAGGAGGAGGTGGAGGAAGAAGAGAAGAGGAAAGGAGAAGTGGGAGAGGGAGGAGGGGAGGAGAAAGAAGGAAGAAGAGGAGAAGGAAGAGGAGGAGGAAGAGGAGGAGGAGGAAGAGGAGGAGGAGGAAGAGGAAGAGCAAAGGAGGAATGGTAGAAATGCCTCCAAGCTCAATTGCTTCTTCAGGGTTCAACCCAACTCTGGCCTGGAAAATCCTACCTGTCTGTATGGCAGGCTTAGTGATTTTAGAGGAAACCTCTTCCCATACAATGTATTAAAAATGATACATGTCACAAGAATAATGAAGAAGTAGACTTGACCTACACTCACAAGCAGGAGGGGAATACGCAACCAAGTTCTTCCACCAGGAAGAAATGCAGGTCAAGGTGTTGAGCAGAAAAGGGAAGCCAACATGCGATTCAGAAGTGGGTGGGGTGTCTACACACAGCTCCCATGGGGACACATTGGCACAGCCACTGAACTTGAATAGGGGCACCCTGCCCATCTGCTTTACTCTTGAGAAGTAGAAACAAAAAAAACAAAAAAGACCCTGAGGAAATTTAAGCCTCAAGCCCATCCCATGAACTAGGGGTTTGAAGGAATCTTTTTTTTTTTTTTTTTTTTGGCCAGACCTGGGGCTTGAACTCAGGGCCTGGGCTCTGTCCCTGAGCTTCTCTGTGCTCAAGACTAGCGTTCTACCACTTGAGCCACAGTGCCATTTTCTGGCTTTTTCTGTGTATGTGGTTGCTGAGGAATGGAACCCAGGAGCTTTATGCCTGCTAGGCAAGCACTGGACCACTAATCCGCATTCCCAGGCCCTTGAATGAATCTTATCCTGAGACAGACGCTCCAGTACTGACTGACTTGTAAACCACAGAGCCTCTCTCCTCAGCACTCCTCACAGATTCCTCCTCCCTTCCCAGCCGCCTCTCCCTCTACCCGCCTCCAAGGATTGTCTATTCATGTCGCACGGTCCCTGTGCCCTCAAAGACAAGCTCTCCCCGACTTCTGTGTCTCCGTTCTGACGACTTTCCTAAGCAAAATGGCTTTCCCACATCCTCCTCTTGTCTCTCGGGTTTCAGCTCAGAAATCTTCCTCCTCAGCCGGCCCTGGCTGACGGCCCAAACACCCAGAGTAAAACACCGCAGCAGCCCCTCCTCGGCCTTTCACTCCCAGCAGTGACATCTTTCCGCCATCTGGTATGGATGCATGGGTTCGGGTCCGTCTGCCCACCAGCCCCTGAGCTCTGGAAGCGGCCTGACTCATCCTTCTCACCCTCCTCCTCCACGACAAGCGGAGAGAGGCAGACACGCACTCAGCTTCAAGTCCTGCCACCGTCCGTCTGTTGCTAGGGAACGGTGTCACCTCCCTGGGCCTGAGCATTCCTTCCTTCTAAAAGGAGTGGCTCGAACAGGGGTCTCGGTGGACGTGACGGCATCATTCGTCAGTGAACGCTTTCCTGCCCGCTAGGCTCATATTCTGAGCCTCACACTGCCAGGTCAAGGCCCACCACCATTATTGCTCACCATGAGAACATGGAGCTTGAGAGGGGGTCTTTCTTATTTGACAGATTCTCTTTTTAGCGCCTACCACAGACCTAGCACCGTGCAGCGAGGTAGAGCCAAGACATATCTAGTTATTATTCAGTGGAAGTTGGTGAAGGAAGATAGGATTCCGATTCAGCCAAATCAACATTCCCAGAGAAGCCAGCTACCTGGTCCGCACGCTGCTCTGGGGACATTCATCCTCAACTGGGACACACCACAGCTCCTCCATCTAAGCATGCATAGCGCCCTCCCTCCTGAAGGTCTGCCATCTGGCCGTATAATCCACGTGAAAAGAAAACCTGTGTTCCACAGGCAAGGGAGAAGACAACCACACTGCTGATAATGTGGACTGAACCAAACACAGTGATGATGCGCTCCGCTGAACCCCGGGGTGAGGGTTAGCATTAAATGAAGTTGCATCCTAACCCCAGATCCCTGACATGACTTCAAGCACGTTCCAGAAATCCCACTATAAAACAGTAGCCCACGGTAGCTACTGGGCACTCGAGAGATTACTTATCACGGAGCCATGTGATTAGAACAGGAGTGGACGTCGTAAAACCATGCATAAAACTTGGCACATAATTCGCAGAGCATAAAAGACTTACATGCAGATACCAAAAAAAACTGATCAGAAGTTCTTAGTTTACAATCTATTTAGCCTCCGGCAATACTTGATCCACTGGGGGGCGGGGGGGGGGGGAAACAAAACATGGTTCCTCCGTGCGAAAAAGAAAAACCAAATCTGACAACTGAGAAAAAGCCAGGCCCCCAAAATTCCACTGCCGATATTAAAAAAAATAATAATAATACCAAAGCAGGCAGTAAAAGTTAGGGAGAGCAGCACGGAATCCTGCAGGTGCACATCATTTCCAGGAATGAATTATAAATGAGAACTTCATTATTGGGGGGGGGGGAACCAACCATTCTGCTTATACAAAGACAGATCAACTCAGATTTGGATTCATGAGAGGCACTCTAGGCCATGTTTTGGGTCAGGTTTTGGGTTTTTTCCCCCCTAGGACCACTTCTTGGGCACCTGCCAAAGGTGGGGCTTGGTACTGACACCATCACCTGAAATCTCCAGGATGGCTGTATGAAGGAGGTTCCTACAGCTCACCTTTGACCTTTGGGGAAACTAAGGCTATGACGGACAGGTCAGACAGCCTATAAGCAGATGCCAGAACCAGGTCTGGCTGGACCCACAGCCCCAGCATGGTTTCCAGGCCACCAGGATGCCTGCCCCTGCTGACAATTGCATCCACAGCCCCACGTGACACAGCGGGCCCTGACGAGCCCTCCTGTCCTCTCCAAGCGGGGCGGGCTGTATGAGTTCAAGGTAGCATCACCCGAGACACAAACATTCCAATTCAAATCCTGCTCAGGGCTGGGAAGGTGGCTCAGTGGTAGAGCGCTTGCCTTGCATGCCTGAGGCCCTGGGTTTGATTCCTCAGCACCACATAAGCAAAAAGAAAAAAGCCGGAAGTGACGCTGTGGCTCAAGCAGTAGAGCGCTAGCCTTGAGCTGAAGAGCTGAGGGACAGCGCCCAGGCCCAGAGTTCAGGCCCCACGACCAAACACAAAACAACAAAAAAATATTCAAATCCTGCTCATTTTTTAAAAATATTTTAATCATTTCTGCAAAGTTGTGTGTGTGTGTGTGTTTAAATTACTGCTGTTGCTTCGTTAAGGTAATTTTTGTTTGTAGGCGTCTATTGTGTAGTTCAGATCATCTTGAACTCACCACCCACCCGCCTTCTTCCCTTGAGTTCTGGGATTACAGGTGTCCGTCACCATGCTCAGCTACAAAACCCTGCCATTTGTATTACTCGTCAATCTTCTCAACATGCCCTTCCGAATAGGCTCAAATAGGCTCCCAGCTACCTCAGCATGCACACGGACAGTCAGCTGGCTGGTTCCTTCTTTCCGGTTGTGCCAGCTTGGTGTCAAAATCCAGAAACAACAGTGAATGCCCTTCACAAGAGGCAAAAGGACTGCTTTTCACCTTCTGAGGCTGAGGCAGGAAGGGGCTCTCCTCACGCCCAGGGTCTCAGAGCGGTGTGTGAATTCCCGCCCAGCCCGGAACTAACTACAGCCATCAGGAAAACGAGGTGAATGCCACCCCAGAACCCAAAAGAGAGCTTAATTCCAGATGCAGGGTCAAGAATAAACGTGGGCCAGCAGGTGGGTGGGGGGAGGGGGGGTGGCTCACATCTGTCATCCTAGCTACCAGAGAGTCTGAGACCTGAGGATGGTGGTTCGAAGCTAGCCTGGTCAGGAAAAGTCCAGGAGACTCTTATCTCCAACGCACCACCAAAAAGCTGGGAGGTGGAGACGTAGGAGAGCATTAGCCTCGAGCATAAAAGCTCAGGGACAGAACCGAGGCCCTGAGTTCAATCCCCAAGACCAACACACACATGCACACGCACACGCGTGTGTGCGCACACACACAAACCAACGAGTAAGTGAAGACTATAATAGGCATGTACATAGCACATGATCCCATGTGACCCCCCCCCCCAAGGGTCCTGTGCAGTCTTACCACAATCATTCTGACTTGATAACATAGGAAACAGAGGCCAGGCCCATCCCCCAAGCTACACACGGAACCTGCAAGCCCAACTAAGGCCCAGGTGTCTGGAAGACATTACTCAATCTCCTAGAGGAAAAAAAAAAAAAAAGTCTTTCTAGTAGAGGAGCGATCAGACCTGGTCTCCTCTTTCTGTAACATGGGGACCAAGGACACACTGCTGTCCCAGAGTTAGGGGGGAAGGCTGGATGAACGGAAGAGTATGAAGAGCTGGCCCCATGTCTGGCAGACCTGCCATCACAACTGTCACCACTGCCACTTCTTACAGGGTCATTGGCCCTTAAAGTCTTTAAGGATTAAAAGTAAAGGAAGCCGGGTGCTGGTGGCTCACGCCTGTCATCCTAGCTACTCAGGAGGCTGAGATCTGAGGGTCACAGTTCAAAGCCAGCCGGGGCAGGAAAGTCTGTGAGACTCTTACTGCCAATGAACCACTCAAAAACTGGAAGTGGTGCTGTGGCTCAAGTGGTAGAGCGCTTGCCTTGAGCTGAAGAGCTCAGGGACAGCACCCAGTCCCGGAGTTCAAGCCCCATGACCAACCAAAAAAAAGTAAATGAGGCTCTCTTGTTCAACAAGGGCCAGGCCATACCTTCTCTTCTGAGGAGACAGTCAGCTTGTCGCTGGAGATCAAGCTACACACCTGGTCCAGAGTTAGGCTAAGAAACTCTTCCCCCAGCATCACCTCTGGGAAGTGCTGCTCTGTTCCAAAAAGAAAAAGAGAGAAGAAAGAAGAAGAAGAAATTAAGAAAACAAAGTTATAGTATACCTTGGCTCTCCCACAAGCCAATGCCATGATGACCTACAGGGCTCAGTGTGGAGGCGGGGGGGGGGGGGGGGAGTGGAGGACCACTGAGAGATGAGAGGAAGACAGAGGCATTCTAGCTGGAGGGAAAGCTGGCCTTTTAATTCTACAAGGCAGATGCGTACTGCCCCGCGTGGTCCTTTGACCTGAACGATGACACTGAGATCCAAGTGTGTGTTTTTTTCCACTCTCTTTGAGATTAATACTGCCAAGGGAGAAAGGCCTGCGAGGAATCCACCTACACAACGGAACCCGAGCACAGTGCCCCCTACTGCCTGGCCGAACAAGGGAGCCAGAGCAGGTGGAGGGAAGGAACTGCCTCTGGGGTTCTCGTAGGACGTCAACACTGTCAGAAGATGGACCATCCCTTCTTGCCCAACGTGGAGTCCATGGCAGTGAGTCCCTGAGCGCTTAACTGCTACCACCACCAGGACCACCACCACCCTCACCACCTCCTCCACCATCACCTTCAACATTACCATCAGTACTGCCACCACTACCATCATCATCACCACCAACACCCCCTCTGCCATGATCGTCACCACCATCACCACCACCATCACCACCACCATCACCACCAACACCCCCTCTACCGTGATCACCAACACCATCACCACCACCACCACCATCACCACCAACACCCCCTCTGCCATGATCGTCACCACCATCACCACCACCATCACCACCAACACCCCCTCTACCGTGATCGTCACCACCATCACCAACACCACCACCATCACCAACACCACCACCATCACCATCAACACCCCCTACCGTGATCATCACCACCATCAC